ACCCTGACATAGGAGTGCTTCTATCTTTCCTTTTTTATTCTTCTGCTAAGAAGTTGCTGGTCACAATGGCCTGGAAGTGAGGTCTTTCCCTTTCATTCCACCTGCTTCCTCTGTTCAGGTGCCAGCTAATGCCAGAATCTGTTCACATCAAAATCTGTTGCTCCTAGCAAATGAACTTTCCCTACCAGAATACTGCAGGGTCAAGTGAAAAACAAGCAGTGGTAGCAGGTGAACTCCAAGTAACCAAGCTCCGCTATAACCACTGTGGTATTTCAGGAACTGTTCCGCTGTGCCAGAGTCCCTGTGTAACAAGAAAAGCATGCAACAAGAAACACATGAAATGACAAGAAGGGTCTACTAACTTTGCTCCTTCAGTGAATGAAGTGATTACAGGTCACTGGAAAAGATCTAGAACTAAGCCAGAATCCTCATCTAGAATCCACTTTCAGTTTTTCAGCATCATAATTTTTTCAGGCTACCACCATGACCACCTGTGATGAACTAATTATTCAAATAGCTTATGTGCATAAAGCTTGGAAGTTTTCTTACACTGTTTTAGTAACAATTTGATCCTTAATCTTGGCAGAATTATGTTAGGATTTTAAAGTACCAATAAAATACATTTATAAGTTTCTCTTTGCATTTTGTTGCTTTTTTAATTAAAAAAAAATTGTTGACTGTCTTGCACTAGCCTGTGATCTGAGCTGTCAGACTGATTAGCAGTGACAGCATGTCAGAGGTCATTACCATTAAACACACCTCAGTGAACAATTCAACAGAGTTGCTATTCCACCAGTGGTAGCCCTCACAAGTGGCTTTAGGAATCATAGGGAGCAAACTCCAGACCACTCCGGTCTAACCTGCATGCCTGAGCACCCTCTACTGCTCTGCGCTGGCCGGCCCAAGCCGAGCAGTTCTGCACGGTCCGTCAGTCCCACGGTTACGTACACACCCAGTGCAACACTGCTGCTGGCAGCTACTGCTGAAAGGAGTAACGCCTGAGCATCCTTAGCCAACACTCGTGGTTCATCTCGGAGAAGTCGGAAACAAGCCAGTGTCTTTGTTTTTTCAGCTTGGAAATTATGGCTTTAGATTAGCCCCTTGTCAAAGGCAAGATGTTTGTGTGTGTGTTTTATATAAATATACACATGTATTTTATATACATGTGTGTGAATATGTATGTATGTGTATTTATATATACACAGATATCCATATATACATATATAGATACACACATTCATATATGTGCATATACATATCATAGACACAGAGATATCTGTATTTTATATATATGCACACAGATTTTCTTGACCATTTATTTTCATAAACAGGCTTTAAGCTTGCCCTCCCTTTTTCATTCTCTTACTCATATTGGCAAGAAACGTGTGTCTGTTATGTCTGTATAGAGAGGAAGAGGGAAGGAGGAAAGCGTGTGTATATATATAAATAAATATATTTCTACACAGTCTCATCTGACTGTAATCCATAGGCCTCCACTCCATACAGAAGCAGTTATCTATCAGCAGGTGCCCTTTCATGTATCCTGCATAAATGCTACAGCCATCCATTACAACATGACTAGGTCAGCAGCATTTACCTCTTCTCTCCCCATGAACAGATGCTAAATTCCCTACAGTAAAGCGGAACAATGCTGAAGGTACTATGTGGACTGCTTGCAGCCGCTCACTTTCTAACAAATATCTGAATGGAGCCCCCTCCTCTGTCCAGGTTTTCAGTAAGTGCAGTTCTAGGAGTGCTGGTAATTTAACAAGAGCTATAGCTTCAGAGCAGGGACGCCAGGTATCCTATGACAAACAAGCACAGCCCAATTTGGCCTTCTTTCACCTAAGTAAAATTGTAAATGTTCCTTCAGAGTGCTCCTGCCCAGACTGGCAGCAAGCATAACCATGTTATACACATCCACGCGATGCTTTAAGTGCTCCTCCCAATTCCCCAATCTCTCCTTTATGACCCCAAAAGCAGCCTTGGGAGAAGCAGCACCTCCCGTACAAAGAAAGACTATCACACAGGGTGGCTCATGTGGAACAAAAGTGGCTGCAAGATAGAAGAGTGAATGAAAGCACCCAAGCAAGGATTGCAGCGTATGCTACAACAGCACATAAAACACCTTTAAAAAAAAAAAAATCCTATCACCTATTTCCATACTACAAACTAACTCTCTGCTTGTTTAAAGTGTTTCAGTGAGAAAAATAAAATTACTTTAAAAATTATCGTTTTTAAATTTCAGACAGTGGGGAAATTCAGTCTATTAATCATTGAGTTATTCTATTTATTCACCTTGAAAAAATCCTGATCAGGAGAAAGTCTATTAAAAGAATACAGGGATTCAGCTCCCACCTTCCTCACTGCATAAGCAATCAGAAGATGCCCCTTTGAACCCTGCGTTAATAAAATTCTCATTAAATGCAAACCTGCACAATGTTATCTTAAAGAGGCTCATTAGGTTAAAAAAATTACTTGTCTCAAAATGTGTTTATTTCCTCATAGGTGAGAAGGTGAGTTTTCAAACCACTAACTACTGCAGCTTCTTATTTCAACCCATCCATGCTGCAGCTATATCTTGCAGTCCATCATGTCTCAATTATTTATGTAAACCACAGAGACAAATCCACAGATAGAAGTTATAATCACTATTATGGGATAGGACAGCAATAGGGATCACACATTCCGGTACGGTATGTAAGATTTCAGCCAGATAAAGCTATTATTCTGTCTTCTTCAAATTTTCATTTTCTTTAGGTTGGACCAAAAATTATGAATCGTCTGTAAAAAGGAGAGGTATGGAGAGAAGGTAGGAATAGCCTCCCCGCCTCTCAGTGCTCAAAAAGAACATTTGTGACTGCTCTTTTCACTGGAGTAAGGACTAGAAAAATCAGATAATCAGCAACAACAAAACTCGATCAGACTGCCTAGTGGAGAACAGGGTCCAGCTAAAAAGTACAGTTAATACCGTAATAGGATACACGAAGTGGGGCCTCTCTCTGCAGCTGAGTTTAAACAAGAACATGTCAAAGATTCTCTAGGTATTACTCATCCTGACTCTGTATTAAAGCAATTAATCAGATGACCTCACCCATCCAGCACTGTGGGGTACAAGCAGGACCCTTTTATGTGTCTCCCCAACAGTTACTCCTGTAACACAAATGCACTGCAGCCTTGAAGAGCTGTAAACAACTCACCACTCCTCTCCTGGCAGAAATACACATAAGATCGTACACCAGAATTTAAGACACTTGTTAAAGCCCACCACATGCACGCACACACAGATGTGTTTACATTTGTAATCTTTCCCACTAAAAGCCTTAGGATAAGGAAATGACAATTTTTATTTATTTTTAAATAGCTGTTGTAAAGAGATGAAAATAGAAACCGAAGCGTGACTTTGCACTGCACTGTAAGGTGCAGGTAATCATCGCTCATAAAAACTTTCCAGAATGATGGAGCAAGCCGAGGGAAAAATCAAATGTGAGGTGGATTTCTCTAAACTCATTCCCTTCATGGCAAAGGCATCCAAATAAGAAACAGTACGCTAAGACCTCTTTAAGGCAAAAGCAAAGGGGCATAAACAAACAGGCGATACAGACAATGGGGAGCTAAGCCAGGTTCAAACCAGCATGTCCTTATCAATGCATAAAATAATTACATCTTATGATAATATTGTCATTCATTAACATACTGTGTTTCTCTAATAAAGCCATCAGCCTGACAGCCCTAAACAGTTTATTCTTCTCAAGCATCCTAAGACCCAAGACGCTGCCCTGTTTCTGGGGGAAATGAACTTTAATATGTGGTGATGAAGTTTAGACTTCTTTCCCTGCGTATACAGAGAATTCCCAGGGCAGACACTTTGTGTCACATTAAATGACATTAATTTGCCAACAGCTATCTGTTCTGCTGCTTCACTCCGAGTGCATTATCTGCCCACAAGCGTTCATTTGTGTCTGTTTCCAAAAATAAAAATAAGGATAGTAGCAAAATAAGTCTTCTTGAACCATACCTGATGTTATTAAGCTTACAAACGTACTAAGGGAACCTTTAAGGTGGTTTATAGACACGTAAGATGTATATTGACTTGAAAGATGCCCTCAGAGAGTCTGTCCTACACAATCTCTTTTGTAAGTGAGGAAAATGACAAGTACTAGCAATGTAGCAGTACTGAGCTACCTGGTGTTGCATAGACACCAAGTGTCTGGGGTGACCAGGGAAGTGATGGACAGATATTTTTTCAGTATAAATAATTCTCTCTTTTATGGTTTGTTTACAAGCCAGAGATAAACAGTATATTTTCCCTCTCAACATTCTTCCATTTTCCAATCAATCAGATCCATGAGCCTCTTGCCCAGAACCCAGCTTGGTCAGTACTAGCTGCTTCAGAAGCCAGGAAAAGAAATTATTGCTGTTGTGAAGGAATACAGAAAAAAAGCACCGCTAGATATTCCTTAGCCTTACAAGTAGAGCATAACTTCTGCCCTTGAACAGGAGGAAGAGGTTTAAAAGAATACTGAAGTGTCCTTAAATAATCAGTTTTAAACACACACAAAAATCTTGCAATGTTATAAGAGGCCTCGAATCTGCTTATTACAGCTGGCTTACAGTCCCCTTCATAGCTTCATAGAATTGCAATAGAATCACGCAACAGAAATCCATTAGGTCCACAATTGCTCTGCCAGCACAGCATCGTTCCCTACTGTATAACTTCTCCCAAGAATGCTGTGAGGATTAATTCATTACAGCTTGTGCCATGCTTTGAAAGCACTCAGTCTACAGAAGAGCCAAGAGAATTATTAGAGAGAGGACAATCAAACCCTGGTGCTCCTCTCTTTATCCCAGTGGGCCCTGTTTAAAGCAGCAATTTAGCCCAACAAAGAGAACAAATTCAAAACCAAATTCAATACAACATATGTGAAAGTGTCACGATAAGAATGCAGTCACACCGGACACAAGAATCTTTAAAATGGTTATTAACTTCTACTCCTTACCTAATATTGACTAACGCATGGGTCACCTTGCTTGCAGGCTCTTTCCATTGACCAGCGTTGGTAGACAGCCTTAGAACTGAAAGGAAAAGACAGTTAACAGTGCTGGCACAGAACTGGCAATTTTCTAGTCCAAAACGTCAAAAAAAATCTGCTTTGGTGAGATGGCAGCCCAGAAACCACATCAAAATAAAGGTCGTCTTCGAGACAGTCTGTGATCCAGGGCAGAAGTTCCCTTCAAACCCCATCTATGAAATGTAAGGAACACGGAAGAGGTGAGCAGAACAAAATAATGGCTGGGAGACAGGAAGCAGAGGGGATAGAGGAGCCTAGGTCCTCCTAACTACTTTCATCACCACATATTAAAGTTCATTTCCCCGAGAAACAGGGCAGCGTCCCAGGTCTATGATACCTTTTATTCCACACACTGCTGTTCTCCTCCAGCTCCTATTTATGCAAAGTTCCATATGAGCTGGACTACATCCTGCAATTTAAACGTACCCCAGCAGTGATGGATTCTTTACCTCCCAGTTTATCTGGAACTGCAGAGAGGAATTACACACCAGCCTAGGGAAAAACACTCCCTGTAGGAACAAGGGTGTTGTTCTGTTGCACAGATGGTCTCTGACAGACTTGGGAGCAGATCTGAAAACATTCTGCAACAGGAAGAACTTCTAGGGAATCCAATTCTTTTCTGCCAGAGTACCAAAAGTATTTATTTACGTCAGAATCTATAGTGTTTCCGTGGTGGCAGTTACCCACACATCTCTTGGTACGTATGAAAACAATAACAGATCCTGCAGCAAATGTTTGGATTAATTTGTATATTGCCTGAATAGAAGGGAATTTTCTATGAATTTGTATATACAGGGTTTTCTGGAGGTTACATTCCACAAGAAGGGTTCACCTTCGACTTAGAAGTGAAGGAACAGCATGCCACCCAAATTTAGGATCATCTAGAAACACAGATGCTACAAGTGAATCCATAAGCACAGTGGCTGCATGAGAGAAGCTTTCAGTCCTGCAGATCTGGATAAAGTTCAGATTCAGGACAAGAAAAATAAATAAATAAAAACCAAGGCGATTAGATTCCACCTCCACTCCCAACATAGAAAGTTTCAACCACATTAACAGGAAAACTAAAGGATAGCATAGCTTTCTCATCTGTGCTAACAAATGTCCCAAGGCTGGGGGACAGAAGGCTGACTGTAGTCCCAGTCCCAGAGATGGACTGACAAGCAAAGGGAAGCTGTCAGGGCATCCGGTTAAACTGTGGCTTTTATCAACTTGAGACAGTGCTACCTTCTCACTTCCTTCCTAGTGCTACCATTACATGAAATCCGCAGGGAAAAAAAAAAAAAAAAAAAAAAAAAAGATGTCATCTCTAACATCATTTTGTCAAACAGTAGGTACTGTACTTGAATATCCGAAGTAATGTATTCAGAGAGGGTTTCTATTCAGGCATCTACAACATTAATTCAAAGGGGTTTGCTCTGTGTAGCAGGATGGAAAACGTTCATGTGACAAATAAATTGTTTCAACAGGTCAGATGTGCATATCACAGTCCAACTGAGTAAGTATTTCAGCATTTTATTCTTCCATTCCACTTTCCTTTAGCTTCCACAGGGGATGGGTTTGAAAAATTACTGGCTAGTAAAAGCACCTCATCTTATTAGCTGCAATTCTTGGGAGTAGGAAATGGGTTAGTAAAAAATCTTATCTGCTCAGCGGGCACAAAAATGGCCAAGTGATTCCTTATATAATGGATGAAAACTGTAGGAAGTTTGTACAAACTTTTGCTTGCAGTTGCAGGGGGTATTCAGCTACTTTTATTTAGGTGAAGATGGTTCTCTCCTATGTCAGAAGAGTGCTGTAGCCAACTGTCTGTCTCCCACTGCCCTTTAACTCCCCTGTTAACTCCTGTTGTTCATTGGGTGATCATGCTGAGAAGGCAGCAGGGAGTAAAGGGAAGAAAGGCCCTTTACAACAAAGCAAACAAAGAATACAGCTATATTCTTTTCTTCACAGCTTCAAGCATGCAGGCACTACACCAGTGCTGCTGCAGCTACCCTTGGCTGCAGGCTCCTGCGTATACACTGCCTGATTATGCCTCCATGCATTCCTTATTCTCCTTTGTTCCTCTTTTCCCTGCTGGGTGTCACTTGGTGGCATTCCAGCATGCCCCTCTCTCTTTGAAGGATGGCAGCTTCTCCCTGTTTTGCCAGTAGGCGCATTCTTCAGTCCAGTGATTCGCTTGTCATTGCAAGCAGGTTTGTGAGGGCTGTTTTCTTCGTTTGTTTTGGCAATGAGTGTAGTAGATGTGATTTGTCTAGCACAGCAAGCTTCTTGTTGTAAGTTTCTCAAATTCTTTTCCAAATTCGTGTTTGCATTGGAGTGTGTCTCTGTGCTGGCTGGTTCTGCAGCATGTACCTGCCTTCTGACTTGAAACTGTCGAATGTAATAGATGTAAACTACATGAAGATGCATGAAATACCACATACCCAGTTGTGCCAATAAGTTTATATTTTCAACCACAGTAAGTGGCTGCTAGAGAGGCAATGGGTCTGTTCCTATTTTTTTTCTGACTAAAAAAAAGATTTCTCTCTTTAACAAGTTTATCCCTCTCTCAATTCTTAATTTACCAAACATGTCCTAGTACACAAAACATGTCCACTCACCAAGACACACATCAGTAGCAGGTGGACAGAAAACACCCGACACAAACATCCCTCCACCACCACCTTCACTTCCAGTCAACAGTAGTCCTGACCAGTCAGGAGGTACTCACCCATAGAATAAAGGTTGTCAAAATTCTGATGCATCCGAATGATTTCATAATACAGCTCATCATAGCTGCTGGGAGTGGGGAGAAAGGTGTCTCCATAAGTGATGAACATGTTGAACAGGTTCACAACCTATACAAGGAAATGAAAAGAAGTTACAACAGGAATATTTACACAAAATCTATTCTGCAACAGAAACAATACAAACTATGTCCAAAACCTTCAAAGAAATAGCTCTCAGTTGCATTACACGGTGTTACATTACTTCATTGCTTTATCTATTAGTTTCCTTATAGTACAGGAGACAGACAAGAAGCTTAAATACCATCGTATCTGGGGCCAGGAAAACAGATTTCTATTATTTTGGATACAAAGGGCCACAGAACAAGAAAAAACATTACCAAATCTGGAAAATTAAACTAAGTCTTTCCTCACATAGACTTGTTTATTTCAATGAGCAGACCCTACAGTGGGTCCAAGCACTGCCCTTTCCAAACACGTAGCAAAACCAACCACAATGATATTCCTCCGCTTTGTAGCATTGTTCTGACATCTCCTTACCAGGCCAGAAATCCTGGATTCTTTCCTAAGATTCAGTCAAGATTAAGTTGTTTAAAATAAGAGGATTTGCTTTGTCTGTACTCACCATAAGAGCAAGAGTGAAGATGTTGTGCTTGGCCAGCAACACAGTCTCATTAGACATGAGGAACTTCAACAAGTTGATCAAAGCTAGGAGAAAGTAAGACGTATTTTTTAAATAAAATTAAAAAGCAAAGCCATTCTCAACAAATCACTTAAATACAGATACATTTTCATTATCTGGTATAAACTAACCTGAATGCCAGCTGCTCATCTCTCAAAGATATCGATTTACATGTGGGGTTTGTTTGGGTTTTGTGGGGGTTTTTTTGCAGCTAAAATACTGTGCTGGACAGGTAAGTGACAGGTGTTTTACTGTCCCACATTATTCTCCTTCACTGACTTCCCAATCAAATCTGCTCAGGCTCAAGGTAAGTCTCTTGTTAGCTTAGTGAGTTCACGGGAGATTTTTCTGTCTGCCAAATCCTGAAGTGAGCTTTGGGATTGGAGAATCCAACTGTCTCATTTCTGCTTCATACATCACCAACATGATATATGCACAGTCAGCCCCAAACTGTCACTCTTGTTGATACTTGCAGTTAAAAAAAAAAAAGTAACAAAAAAACACAGCATAGCTTTTCTGTAGTTCTGTCAATGCTGCTGCAATGGTACAAGGAAAGATACAGTACTTTATTGTGTCAGTTATCTAGGGCTGTGCGGTAAAGACTACAGATCTGGTTCACACTTGTCTTAAAAAAAACAACAAAAGCTCCTGCTGTAACCACCCAAAAATCAGTTAGTGATAGTGGGAATTAACAAAAAGGTTGGCTAAAAGAGCTTTAATCAAACAGACTTTACAATAAACAATTGTATTCCATACACTTGAATAAAATGGAAAGACCTTTATCTTGTTTTTTCTAGTTCTTGAAATTTTCAAAAAAGAGAAGAAAGCTGTTTCCTTCTGCATTATAGCTGCTCAGGACTGAAAGCCGATGCCTGCCTAGAACAGATTCTTAATGTACTCTCTGCTCTGAAGTCAACAGATTTCAAAACTTAAAACATCTGAATTAGATGGCCTGCAAAGTCAAGCTGGAACACTATACAGATTTTTTTTAAAAAAGGTTCTTAGTTACCTACTAATTGGTAACTGCATCTAACAGAATAACACCGGGCATTACTCTGATTTCTTATAGATACAACTAGAATTTGTCAATCTGTTCTTCCCCCCCCCACTGTTACACAAGTGTTACACACTACCCAGTAACCTGCAAGAAAACTAACTCCAGTTTGGGAGAACCCCATAGCGAATACAGAACAGACCATTCATCTCAGCCCAAAGGTACAGGCTATGAAATAGGAGGAGATAAAGCACGGGGAATGGGAATGAGGTAAGGGCAAAATTTAGATACCCCCTCCCCCTTCAGGATGACAAAGTATTCACAAAAGGTAAAACCAAAAAACCTACAGTAAAAAAACAGATGTGAAGACTGGTAAGATCTGGAATTAAATAAAATTGTCAGATTCTGAATACAGTCCTGCAACCACTACCTTCCAATACTAGAAGTTCACCAGGAGTGTCAATGCCCTCCAGAAGGGAAACCTACAGCCTTAGTGTGGGTCTTTACCCATCTCAGACAGAAGCTACTTCAGTTTAATCTACCAACTGGTGGCGCGATGCTGAACTGCAAACCACAATGAACAAAGTTCTCTGCAAACTCCAGACATGCAAGTGATTTATCTTTCAGAGCTATTCCAGGATTTAACAGTCAACAGTAGCATCTCTCCCTTCCATGACAGCAGTTCACCTCATGAAGCAGATATATTAATACCTTTTCAATCCAGCCACAGAACTCCCCATACCATCATCACTTCATCATCAGACAAACTCCTGGGACCAAAAGCAGAGCCTGGATTCCACAGCAATCCAGCTCTGGAAATACTCCTGTCAGATATTTTTCTGTAAAACAGCCATTTCAAAACAATGAAGTAGCAGGTACAGATGGGCTCTCCACCAGAGCAGAGATCCAGCTAAAAACAGGTTGCCAAGGTAACCAAGCCTCCACAGCAAAAAAAGTAAGAGTCTCCCACAGTCAGTGCCTTGGACTGAAGACAGCTGCCCTGCATCTCTGTCACAGCAGCTTATTGGCCATCTCTCTAATAGTTACAAGTATGGTTTTACCCCTTTCCCAGCCACGCAAGTCCACACAGGCACATCTTGTGACCAGGCGCTGCTGTTCAACTACCAGCAGTTCGGGCTTCTGAAAGCAGAGTAGCAGAGCTCTGGATTTCCTATAAGAAGTGGTGTGTAGCCTCTTGTTCGTCCCATCACCTCTCACTCTCCCACCACAACCCTGCTGAAAGGCCTTTGCCAGCAGGTGATCGCACAGCATGACGAGAAGCCACTGAACATCCAAACACAGTGAACATGAAAGCTGTGGTGGGGAGACGCTATTTTTAAAACAATGAGCATAACCATCATTTGTCTAGAGCACGAGCACTCGCTGACTGACAGGGACAAGTACCCTACAACTGCCCACTGCAGTATTTCTCAGATACCACCCTGAAGCACTTGCACTGCTCTATATTGGTGACAACACTTGAAGGAGAATTGTTGCTCTGTTCTACCCCAACAACAGCTCCTACATTTGTTCCAGCTGTTGTGATGAATTTGCTCATGTCTAATTTTCCTGTTCCAGTTAGAAAGAAGACAAGAGATTACCACTGCTTGAAATCAATCTTTATACCTGAATTGCGCTGCATCATAGCCCACTCACAGGCGATCTATGCTGTTCCTTCCCTAAGAACTAGGAAGGAGAGGGACGTGCTTCACATGAAGAAGAAACTCAGTGCTGGGCTCAGAGCTGGTCAGAAGAGCTAATCCACCAGGTTTACAGTCACTGTGTGTGCTGCACAGACAAATTTATCCAACTGGAAACTACACATTCCTAAAAAAGTTGCAGTGCTCCTAATTAAGATACACACTACATCGATGCTCAAAGAGCAACCGATCTTTTTCCACACCAGCACATTCTGCACCAGACTCTGCTCAAGTGGCTCTAAGGAACAGGAACACTGTGGAAAATGAGCCCTTAAATCTATGGCTACCTGTGTCTCCGTAGTTTGCTTGTAAGGCAGACCCCATACTGAAAATGAGGACAGCTATGCCCTGGAGTTTTCAGGATTAACAACTTTTAGATCCAGCTTCATATGCCCAGTGCCCTCCAGTAAGAATTACACACACAAAATAAACCTTTACAGCAAAGGTCCAACTGGCTGAACGCCCCTCTGCCCCTGAGCTCCAATGGGGCACTGCTGCTACTACTCCTGAGCAACCTGAAGCCAAACCAGATGTGTCACTTCTTCCCTGCTGCAATCAACTGTTCACCTCTCATATCCCATCTGCAGGCTGCCCTCTCACACTAGCCCGGAAACTAGCCATGTTTTTTTGCCCAACGGGAGAGCAGTTCAATCTCTCAGCTGTGCAGGCAGACAGAACAATGGCCCGTGCTTGGGCTCAGACACATTATCCCAATTTGCGCTCCAGGATTTAACAGTGATGGATGGTTCGGGCATGAGATCTATTTCAACATTAACTGGAAAACAGCACCATTTTTGCAATAGCCTCTAGAGCCTTTTTTTATGAACACACCTGTCTTTGGCATCCCTTACCAGGACACAATACACCCACTACGGTGAATCCTGAAACATACATAATTTCACAATACAATAGCGTCACTAGAACTTCTTTAGCAACAAAAGCAGGAAGCTGTAACTAAACTAAACTAGCAGCCATCAGTTTTCATGCAAGCTCCTCATTTTGTGAGCTGAGCTGAGCGCACTGGCTATGCTTCCTAAATCAACAAGGAGAAAACAAAGCCTTGAACACCTACATTTAGAGCCTCAAAACCAAGTAGAAAAGCATGTTGAGTGGACACTTAAATTGGACATGAAGCCATATGATTGGCTGTATGTGAAAGTGGTGTAAAGCATACAGGTTGGTTTTTCGGCAATTTCCTCTCCCAAGGATTATTATAGCCAAAGGATGAAAAGTGACATCACCAGCTTTTACAGATACCCTCTCTGCTTTTTAAACTGAAATGGCTGCAGTGAAAGAGGCTCCTAGCTCCTCTGCCGCACAGCTGCTTTTGAGGACAGACACTTTCCCTTATCAGCTCTTGTGGCCAGTCTATCTGCTGAGGAGCAACAGTACTCCTGCTCAGTTATTTGCTGCCCTTCTTCAAGCCACTCCTCTGCAAGAAGACTGTGGGCAGCCAGCATCTCACCTCCTCTTCTTCCAGGAAGGAGGTAATTCCTGTTATGGACAGATGCCCTTCACTCCCTCCTCTCCCTATTCCTCCTCCCATAGCAGACTTACCTTCTCTCCCTGTAAGCCTTGTTTCAAACAGAAGTATATTCAGCCCCAGCACATTTGGGATTCACACAAAGTTTTTGTTCTATGTAGTGTCTCAGTGTTCACTTTTTGGATCACGTGTAATGCAACAGGAGCATGGAGGTAGGTTAAGTAGAGAAAAAGGGGAAAAAAAAAAAAAGGAGAAGTAGTACCGTCCCTCGGGCAAGTCAGAATGTAGCACAGACTCTGCCAAGAGCGTCAGAAGGCTCTGATGTGTTATTGCACAACAGAGCAGAAGAGAACAGCCCTAAGACACGCATCAATGAGAGCCTGGATGGGTTAAGCACAGTATGGAGGCCTCTGTCACCGCATCTGCTGTGCTTACAGGTCAAAAATCTTCTAATGGTGCATATAATGGTCCTCAACAAAAGAGCAGGGGAGGAAAAAAAAAAAAAGAGGGCTCCTCAGCTCAGTATAACATATGTATACGTTATATATACGTATATAACGTGTATATATATACGTATATAACCTCAGTATAACGTCAATTAATAGGATCCTGTACTCTACTAAAATCCTCCAATTTTCTACCCTCCAACTCTCAGGGCACACTGGGAAGAACAGTGATTTTCCCATTTCCCTCTGGAAGTTACCATTGTACCAACAGTATATTCAGTGTCCTCCTTTCAGTGTTTCAACTCACAGCCCCCTTAGGAGGATCCCCAGCCACATGTCTCTACAGGGCAGCTGATAATGACATCTGGGCAACACTTCCATGCTGCAGAGAATTCCTCTGCCT